TGAGCCACCTCGCCCGGCCAGCTGTGTGTCTTTGAATGTCATAACCTGAGCATCTGAGAGCTGCTGCTGTCCCCTGGCCCCTGCTCTTGAGAAAGTCCCATGCTGACAGGACAGACAGGGTCATGAGTGCTGTGATGGCTGCCGGAGCGCTCAGGCGGGACCCAGTGCCGCCCCTCTGTGTGGAGCGGGACAATTGCTGCAGGCACGTGGGCCTCTGGCATTAGCCGGGGGTTGTCACTCCGGGGCCCACCCCTTTCTCTGTTCTGACTTCCCACCCCCTTGCAGGCCCCACCTCCCGGAAGGTTAGGACCAGCCTTGGACTGGTCCAGGCTTCTCGTTGGCTCAGATACTGCCTCTGCGAGGTCCCCTCCCGGAAGCCTCCAGTGCACAGTCCCCGGGGCTGCCGCAGCCCCGGTCGCATCTCCCCGGCAGCCGGCTGGGCTGGCCCTAGGCGAGGAGGGCTGAGCGTGCTGCTGGCCTGAGGGGTTCGAGCCAGGGCCGGGATGCAGCCTCCCTTTCTTCCCGGGACCTTTTACATGAGGACAGACTGTCCATAAGAAGTCAACCTCTGTTCCCTTGGGGGCAGCAGTGGAAGAGGCAGCTGCTTTTGAGCTTGTCCCTGTCCCCAGAGAAGCCAGAGGCCTTCCGTGCCGTTGCCAGGGCCAACAAGGCTGAGGAGCCTACAGCGTGTGTTCAGGGCCCGGGACGGGCCACAACCCCCCTTTGTGGGAGCCGAGCCTAGATGGCTCCCTCCCCACCTGCAGCAAAGCCCAGGCAAAGGGAGCTTTGGCCACTTCCTGTTGCAGGCTCAGACTGAGTCCCCTGGTACCCACGCGGCTGCACCCTCCTCCTGTGCGCTGCAGCCATGCTGGCCCCACCCTCTGCAGCCTCCAATCCTGGGCCCCTGAAGGAGGATGGGGAAGCGGCCGGTCCGGCCACCCTGCCCTCCCTTAGACCTCCAGAGCCCGCTGTGTAGACACAGAGGATGCTGTTGGCTTCAGCCCCGAGAAGACGATGCTTCCTCCGGAGAGCTAAGTAAGTGGGAAGCCCCCTCTCCGTCTGTCCTGAGCCCCAGGCAGAGCTCCTGGTGTAAGGCCTGGGGCTGGAGGCTGACCTAGGTCCAGGCTCCGGGGCAGAACTGAAACTCCTTGGTCGCTGTCGCTGATGTCGGGGGAGCAGGCCCCTGCTCACAGCTGAAGCTGTGAGCCCTTTCTGGACAGCCTCCGCATGAGGCTGGTCCTCCACCTGCTCTTTCTTCACACCTGGTGGCCAAGGATATGGCCCTGGGTACAGCGATGATTCCACTCCTGTCGTTATGGGAGCCACGGCTGTCCCGCCCAGCCAGCCACCTGGGCCACAGCGTGCCCCTTTCATGCCCTCCTGGTGCCTCCTCCTCCTCTTGCCCCAGCCCGGTTTTGTCCTACCCTGCTCTCAGGGATGGGTACCCGGTAATGGGGCCAGGGCACAGCTCTCCCCCCAGAGACAGCAATTCTCCTGCTTCAGCGTCCCAAGTAGCTGGGCTTACAGGTGCCCACCACCACGACTGGCTAATTTTTGTAGTTTTAAAAGACATGGGGTTTTACCATGTTGGCCAGGCTGGTCTCGAACCCCTGGCCTGAAGCGATCTGCCCACCTCTCTGGCTGGCCCCAGGGCAGCTCTGCACAGCCTCTGTACCTGGCACACCTCCCTTGACATCTTCTTGTGGACAGTCAGGCACTCTGTGGAGCACCCAAGAGAGCCAGGCCCATCCCACCCCACCTGCCGCCTCTAGCTCCTGGCAGAATGCAGGCCTGAGGGAGGAGGGGCAGGATCAGGGACTCCGCGTGCTCTCCATCCACAAAGGCTCACTGAGTCCCTGAACCCCAGCTCCTGAGCCACCAAATCAGCCTGGGCCTGTCCTGGGCACCCTGTCTGCAATGGAGGCAGAGATGGGGGCCTCGGGGCAGCTCTGAGGATGCTGAGTGCACAATGCAGGCCTGGCCTGCAGGAATCCCTTATGTTCTCTCCTGGAATAAGCTTTGTGGGTGCCCAGCCTGGGGCTGCAGGGAGCTGGCAGAGCAATGGCAGACAGTGGTGGGCAGACCTAGCGTCTGATGGAACAGGCTTCAAGGAAGTGGTGACCGGAGGGAAGCAGAGTGCACTCAGATCCCAGGGTGAGTCATCAGCACTGGGTCTTTCACAGCTGGCGAAAGCAAGCCACAGTGCTAAAGGTCTGTGAGTCTGCGTGAGCGAGTCAGTGGACCAGTAGGAGTTTCCAGGCTGCGGAAGAGCGTTCCCTCCCCGGGATGGGGACACTTAGTTACAGTGGGTCCTAATCCCCCACCCACCCACCGCCCACCACAGAGGCACTGGGGAGGGGGACCCTGCTTCCTGCAGGTGGGAGTGAGGGACACTCCTCCGATGTGGCATCCCTGTGACCGAGGTCATGTGTGATTGATCGGTGTAAGGGCAGGAAGCAAGTCATTGGTCTGTAGTGGGCGTGGGGGCTTCCGAGAGGGCAGGACCCAAGTCAGCCCGGCCTCCTGTGGATAGGTTAGAGCCCCAGGACAGGAGGTGCCCTAGGGACCTCCCCCACCCCTCCCTCCTCCACCCCTCCTGAACTGCCCGCCCCCAGCTCCAGTGGGGGCAGTGACCCTGACGTCATGTCTCCTGCTGCCCCTGCCACCACTTCCCGTGGTCCCACCTCCGCATTCCCCACCCCCACAGAGGAATGCACGAGGCCACCCTTCCTGGATGCACCCCCACCCACACTCATCCAGACCCTGGCATTTGCTGCTCCCCCTCTACTCCCAGCCCCTCCCCCAGGCTCCCAGACAAAGGGGAACTGGCTGGATCCTCTTAAAGGGACAGTGCCCCACCGGCTTATGCCTAACTCCCCTTTCCAACCCCTGTTCCCTAGTTACGGGGAATTAGCTTAGCAGACAGTCCGTGAGTGATACCCATGCAGGCCCCAGGTGGTGGAGGGTTTCCTGGGTAGGAAAGAGCAGGACCTGGATGAGACAGCCCCTCAGGGTCCCTCATCTCATCCAGGTCCCAGTCCTCCTACCCGCCTCTCCTAGATGACGGCCCTAGATAGAGCCTGGGTTCTTCTGTCCCTGTGTGACCCATAGCACCCAAACAGTGGCAGAGCTGGACGGGTTGTCTAGCCTGTTCTCTGTGTGCGTCTGTACCCAGACCCAGACATGCCGCACACAGCAGAACCCAGCCCAGGCACATGTGTGCCTGTGGGTTCACTGGGGCACCCACATTTTGTTTATTTTATTTTTGGGTTTTTTGGTTTTGTTTTTTGAGACAGAGTCTCACTGTCGCTAGGCTGGAGTGCAGTGGCGCAATCTCAGCTCCTGCAATCTCTGCCTCCCAGGTTCAAGCAATTCTCCTGCCTCAGCCTCCCGAGTAGTTGGGACTACAGGCGCGTGCCACCACACCTAGCTAAGTTTTGTTTTTCATTTTTTGTTTTTTAGTAGAGACGGGGTTTCACCATGTTGACCAGGATGGTCTCGATCTCTTGACCTCATGATCCGCCCACCTCGGCCTCCCAAAGTGCTGGGATTACAGGCATGAGCCACTGCGCCTGGTCTGTTTATTTTTTAGAGAGAGGGTCTTGCTGTGTCACCCAGGCTGGAGTGCAGTGACATAATCACAGCACACTGAAGTCTTGAACTCCTGGGCTCAAGCAACCCTCCCTCCCCAACCTCCCTAGTAGCTGAGAGTACAGGCGCTGAGAGTCCCATCTAATTTTTTAATAATTTTTTTGCATTTTTTTAGTAGAGATGGGGGTTTCACCATGTTAGCCAGGCTGGTCTCAATCTCCTGACTTCCTGATCCACCCACCTCAGCCTCCCAAAGTGCTGGGATTACAGGCGTGAGCCACTTTTTTTTTTTTTTTAGAGATGGGGTCTTACTGTATTGCCAAAGCTGATCTCAAACCTCTGGCCTCAAGTGATCCTCCCACCTCAGCCTCCACAAGAGCTGAGGTCACAGGCATGAGCCACCACACCCACATTCCTATACTCATTCATCCTGGCTGGGCGGGGCTGCTGGTCCCCACCTCCCGGGAGGCTTGGCTGGGAAAAAGCTGGGAATGTAGGTCTAACCCCCCGCTGCTGTTGTGGCAGCTAGCGCCTGGGATTTCTCCCCATCTGCCCTTCAAGGCCCTACCAGCCAGGCCTCCTTGAGAGCCCCTAGTAAGGAAAGAGGGGAGCCCTGGCTTTGACCCTGCACACCTGGGGATTCTCCTGCATTCTGCTTATTTTTTGTTGTTTTTTGAGAGAGTCTCACTCTGTTGTCCAGGCTGGAGTGCGGTGGCACAATTTCGGCTCACTGCAACCTCCACTTCCCCAGTTCAAGTGATTCTGCCTCAACCTCCCGAGTAGCTGGGATTACAGATGCTTGCCACCACACCTGGCTCCTTTTTATATTTTTAGTAGAGATGGGGTTTCTCCATGTTGGCCAGGCTGGTCTTGAACTCCTGACCTCAAGTCATCCACCCACCTCCGCCTCCCAAAGTGCTGGGATTACAGGCGTGAGCCGCGGCACCAGTCCCAGCAACCGGTTTTCTAATTCTTAGAAAGGTGCCTGTAGGCAAGGCTGGGGCCCAGGTGTGGTGGAGGAGNGAGAGAGTCTCACTCTGTTGTCCAGGCTGGAGTGCGGTGGCACAATTTCGGCTCACTGCAACCTCCACTTCCCCAGTTCAAGTGATTCTGCCTCAGCTTCCTGAGTAGCTGGGATTACAAACGCCCATCAACACACCCTGCTAATTTTTGTATTTTTAGTAGAGACAGGGTTTCTCCATGTTGGCCAGGCTGGTCTTGAACGCCTGACCTCAAGTCATCCGCCCACCTCCCCCTCCCGAAGTGCTGGGATGACAGGCGTGAGCCGCGGCACCAGTCCCAGCAACCGGTTTTCTAATTCTTAGAAAGGTGCCTGTAGGCAAGGCTGGGGCCCAGGTGTGGTGGAGGAGGGTGGGAGTGGACATCCTCAGCCCAGCCCCTGTCCCCAGGTGTTGTGACTGCAGTGCCTCCCTGTCGCACCAGTACTATGAGAAGGATGGACAGCTCTTCTGCAAGAAGGACTACTGGGCCCGCTATGGCGAGTCCTGCCACGGGTGCTCGGAGCAGATCACCAAGGGACTGGTTATGGTGAGCGCCCCCCACCTTGCACACTGACCTGGGGTGAGGGCGTCCAAGCAGACCCCATGCTCCGGGTCTCTCTCCCATCATCGCCTCTCCTGGTATCTTTTTTTTTGCTGGTCCTTGGAGTGTCCCCTGCTTTCTGAGCCTGACTGTCTGTCTGTATCCCTCAGGGCCTCCCCCGGCCTATAGAGCCAGCTACGTCCAGGAGTTCAGCTGGCCAGCCAGGTCCCCGTGGTTGTGTTTCGGGGAGGATCTGTGGGGGCTGTAGAGGCCGCTGAGCTGGGCTGTTCCCTCCTCACCCCCACACCAGGTGGCTGGGGAGCTGAAGTACCACCCTGAGTGTTTCATCTGCCTTACATGTGGGACCTTTATCGGCGATGGCGACACCTACACGCTGGTGGAGCACTCCAAGCTGTACTGGTGAGTGCCTTGGCCCCTCCCCCAGCCTGGGGGGCCCACCTGTGTCACGGGTCTGCAAGGATGCTGACTCTTCCCACACCCGGGCATGGAAACAAGTGAGAAATGACAGAAGTCAGCAGGAAGGAGCCTCAGATGGCCGGGCACGGTGCTCACGCCTGTCATCCCAGCACTCTGGGAAGCTGAGGCTGGTGGATCCCTTGAGGCCAGGAGTTCAAGACCAGCCTGGCCAACATGGTGGATCCCCGTCTCTTAAAAATACAAAAATTGAGTTTGAGACCACCCTGGCCAAGATGGTGAAACCCTGTCTTTACTAAAAATACAAAAATTAGCGGCACACCTGTAATCCCAGCTACTCAGGAGGCTGAGGCAGGAGACTCACTTGAACCTAAGAGGTAGAGGTTGCAGTGAGCCAAGATCGCGCCACTGCCCTCTAGCCCAGGCAACAGAGCGAGACTCTTATCTCAAAAAAAAGAGAGAGAGGAAGGGAAGGAGAGAAGGAAGGGAGGGAGAGGAAGGGAGGTGGGGCAAGAGAGAAAGAGAGTCTGGGCACGGTGGCTCACGCCTGTAATCCCAGCTCTCTGGGAGGCCAAGGAGGGCGGATCACCTGAGGTCGGGAGTTCGAGACCAGCCTGATCAACATGGTGAAACCCCATCTCTACTAAAAATACAAAATTAGCCTGGTGTGGTGGCGCATGTCTGTAATTCCAACTATTCAGGAGGCTGAGGCAGGAGAATTGCTTGAACCCGGGAGGGGGAGGTTGCGGTGAGCCACTGAGATAGTGCCATTGCACTCCAGCCTGGGCAACAAGAGTGAGCTCCAACCCAAAAAAAAAAAAGAAAAGAGAGAGAAAGAGAAGAAAGGAAGGGACGGAGGGAAAGAAAAGGAAAGGAAGAAGGGAGAGAAGGAAACTTCACCCATCAGCTTTCTTAGACTGCAGCATGGTGCTGGCACAGACCACCAGAGTTGGGGTAGACGCCGCAAGTTAAGGACACTATCCCAGCACAGCTGCTCCCTCTTTAGACATCAGCTGCAAGGTCAGGGGTCCCCAGCCCACCCACACTTCTGACTGACTGGCTACAAATTTAGGGACTCCCAAGACCCTGCCAAGTGTGATCATTTGCTCATAGACTCACAGAACTCCAGAAAGCCTCCATTTAGGATTCCGGTTTTATTATAAAGGATATAGCTTAGGTCCAGCCAAATGAAGCATCTCCCCGCCTCCCCTAGCACATCACTATGGTCACCAACCAGGGAGCTTCCCTGGGCTTCAGCAGCCAGAGTTTGTATTGGGGCTTCTTTAAGTCGTCATGACTGATTGAGTCATTGATCAAACTTAGTCTCCAGGCCTTGTCCGTGGAGGTCAGGCTGGCCGAAAACTACAGTCCTCTTCAGATCACTTTGAGGGGACCAGCCTCATCTGAGTCATCTCGTGAGCATCAACTCAGGAATAGTCCGAGGGGCTCATGAATAACAAAGATATCCCATTCCAAGGACTTAGAGTCGTCCTCCCTGGAATCAGGACAAAACACAGATTCTTTCTTACACAACACTGATCAAGCTGGATTAGAGGACAGCGTGGCTTGATCCCAGATGGGCCTTTAATGACTTCCTCCTGAACTGAATGTATCCTCAGGCCTTGTCCTGGCCGCCTTACAAGATCACAGCGAGTAGACAGGCCCAGAATGACTCAGAGGGATGAGGGCTGGCTAGGCATGCACAGTTCCTGCCCCCGGCTCCGTAGGAGGCGTGAAAGAAAAGAAAGCGGGCTGGGTGCGGTGGCTCGCGCCTGTCATCCCAGCACTTTGGGAGGCCGAGGCGGGCGGATCACCTGAGGTCTGGAGTTTGAGACCAGCCTGGCCAACATGGTGAAACCCCATCTCTAAATATAAGATTAGCCAGGCGTGGTGGCAAGTGCCTGTAGTCCCAGCTACTCGGGAGGCTGAGGCAGGAGAATCGCTTGAACCCAGGAGGCGGAGGTTGCAGTGAGCCAAGATCGCACCACTACTTTTGGGCAATTGCTAGCTTTNTTTAAAGAGAGACAGGGTCTCACTGTGTTGGCCAGGCTGGTCTCGGACTCCTGGGCTCTAGTGATCCTCCTGCCTCAGCCTCCCAAAGTGCTGGGATTACAGACGTGAGCCACCGCACCCACCCTTGCGTCTGGGTTTGACTGATGTTTCCTCTTAGTGAATCAGGCTCTGCGTGTTTGGCCTGATACTGGATAAGCGATGCTTTGTCCTTCCGAGTGGATCTGGCCGGGAGACGTATGATGTCAGTGTGCCCTTTGCTGAGGATGTTAGCTTTGATCACTTGTTTTCTCTCTGCTGTAAGGATTTTTTTCCCTTTCTCGTCAATAAACCATTTGTGAGATTTGAGTCTGTAAATATCCTGTTCCCAGAAAGCCTTCACCCAATGATTTTAGCATCTATTGATGATTCCTGCCTGAAGCGATCGTTACTAGGGTGGCTACAAAATTCTGAATTTCTGTCTCTGTTCTTCCTTCTGCATTTATTAGCCGATTTTCTACTGTAAGGAAGAGCTTCTTCCCAATGTGAGAATAGTCTTTTTGTTTGCTTGCTTGTTTGTTTGAGATGGGGTCTCGCTGTGCTGCCCAGGCTGGAGTGCAGTGATAAGATCATAGCTCACTGCAGCCTTGACCTGATGAGCTCAAGCGATCCTCCCGCCTCAGCCTCTGGAGTAGCTGGGGCCATAGGCAGCACCACCATGCCTGGCTAATTTTTTTTTTTTTTTGAAACAATGAAGTCTCACTGTTTTCCCCAGGCTGGTCTCAAACTCCTGGCCTCAAGTGATCCTCCCACCTCAGCCTCTCAAATAGCTGGGATTACAAGATTACCACCACCATGTCCAGCTAATTTTTTCAAAAAAATTTCATAGAGATGGGGTCTCGCTATGCTGCCCAGGCTGGTCTCAAACCCCTGGTCTCAAGCGATCCTCCCACCTTGGCCTCCCAAAGTGCTGGGATTCCAGGTGTGAGCCACCATGCCTGGCCTTAGTTTTTCTTAAAGCTCTCAGTCTCCTCTCTGCCTTACTCCTATTCCCTTTCCCATCTCCAGAACCTAGGGCAGAGACAAAGTGAACATTCCCTAAAAAGCTTTTATGAGCTGGGCTCAGTGGCTCACGCCTGTAATCGTAACACTTTAGGAGGCCGAGGTCGGTGGATCACCTGAGGTCAGGAGTTCAAAACCAGCCTGGCCATCATGGTGAAACCCCATCTTAAAAATAAAAAAATTTAAAAATTAAAAAAAATATAAATTTTTAAAAAAAAGCTTCTATGAGGCAAAATGAAAACCACATCCCTAACACCGAAGAGTTAAAAGAAGGAGGTAAATTTGGCAAATTGGTCTTTTTGTGAGTTCGCTTATGGGCAACTGCCTCGAGTGTCTCTGTGCTGTCTTCACCCCACAATTAACTGTGGCTCAGGGGAAGCTGCCAGCTGCCTCCTGCCAATGCAGGGCCCATAGGAGCTTGGCTTCCTCTTTTTTTTTTTTTTTTTTTTTCCCTTTTGAGATGGTTTCCCTGTGTCGCCAGGCTAGAGTGCAGTTGTGTGATCTTAGCTCACTGCAGCCTCCCTGGTTCAAGCAATTCTCCTGCCACAGCCTCCTGAGTAGCTGGGATTATGGGCATGCACCACCATGCCCAGCTGATTTGTGTATTTTTAGTAGAGACGGGGTTTCACCCTGTTGGCCAGGATGGACTTGATCTCCTGACCTCGTGATCCACCGACATCGGCCTCCCAAAGCGCTGGAATTACAGGCGTAAGCCACTGTGCCTGACCTAGCTCTCTTTTTCTTTTGAGATGGAGTCTCACTCTGTCGCCCAGGCTGGGGTACAGTGGTATGACCAACAGAGCAAGACTCCGTCTCAGGAAAAAAAAAAAGGAAGCAGGTGGCGGAAGAGCCTGGGGCTGGGGGCTGCAGGGATGCTGAAATTGCTGACACCCTTGACACTGTCTTCTTCCCACCCCTGACGGCTCTTGCAGCGGGCACTGCTACTACCAGACTGTGCTGACCCCCGACTCCCCTGGCTCCCACCTGCCCCACACTGTCACCCTCGTGTCCATCCCAGCCTCATCTCATGGCAAGCGTGGACTTTCAGTCTCCATCGACCCCCCACACAGCCCACCAGGCTGCAGCACGGAGCACTCACACACCGTCCGTGTGCAGGGGTAAGTGGCCAGCCTGCCGAGGCTGCACCCGGTGTGGCCATGGCCATTGATGTGGTGGCAGACTCTGGCACGGGGGGCCCTGAAAATGAATGGGCAAGTGTTTGGTGCAGATGGGGCGCAGCTCTGACAACCTGGTTTACCAGATTCCTGGCCCAATCATTCCTCTCAGTACCATTACAAATGCCACATACAATAAAAAGACATTTTCAGCCAGGTGTGGTGGCTCACACCTGTAATCCCAGCACTTTGGGAGACCGAGGTGGGTGGATCACCTGAGGTCAGGAGTTCTAGACCAGCCTGGGCAGCATGTTGAAACCCCATCTCTACTAAAAATACAAAATGAGCCGGGTGTGGTGGTGTGTGCCTGTAGTCCCACCTACTTGGGAGGCTGAGGCAGGAGAATCACTTGAGCCCAGGAGGTGGAGGTTGCAATGAGCCCAGACTGTGCCATTGCACTGCAGCCTGGGCAACAAGAATGAAATTGTCTCAAAAAAAAAAAAATAACCCACACACAAAATGAAAAGACATTTTCTTTAGTTAATATCTGATCCAACAAGAAAAAGGAAGCAAGTCAGGAATGAGTGAAAAGGCTGGGTGCAGTAACTCAGACCTGTAATCCCAGCACTTTGGGAGGCCAAAGCAGGAGGATCACTTAAGGCCAGAAGTTCGAGACCAGCTTGGGCAACATAGCGAGACCACCCTCCCATCTCTACAAAAAAAAAAGAAAAGGAAAATTAACAGTATGGTTAAATCACTGAACACATGAAGGCTGGGCATGGTTGCTCACACCTGTAATCGCAGGACTTTGGGAGGCTCAGATGGGAGGATCCCTTGAGGCCAGGAGTTCGAGACTAATCTGGGCAACATTGTAGTCACAGCTACTTGGGAGGCTGAGGTGAGAGGATCTCTTGAGCCTAGTTTAAGTCGTGACTACAGTGAGCTATAATTGGCCACTGCATTCCATCCTGGGCAATGGAGCAAAACCCCGTCTCAAAATAAAGTGGGGCAGGGCCAGTAAAAATTAGATTACTGCGTGACTCTGGGCATCTCCTTTCTCTCTGGGCTTTGGGGGTCTGCTTGAGCAATGAGGGAGTTAGATACCTTGGAGCCTTCTAAGATTTCTGCTGAGCCTTTATTGACATCTTGAGAAGTAGCATGCAGTCTTTCCACTTTGGGGCAATTGCTCACTTTCGTTTTTTTTGAGACAGAGTCTCGCTTTGTTGCCCGGGCTGGGGTGCAGTGGTGTGATATCGGCTCACTGCAACCTCTACCTCCCAGGTTTAAGCAATTCTTGCACCTCAGCCTCCCAAGTAGCTGGGACTACAGGCGACCACACCTGGCTAATTTTTGTATTTTTAGTAAAGACAGGGTTTCACCATGTTGCCCAGGCTTGTCTCAAACTCCTAGGCTCAAGTGATCCTCCCTCCTCTCCCTCCCAAAGTTCTGGGATTACAGGTGTGAGCTACCGTGCCCAGCCCAAGTGCTCGATTTCATTTGATGCAGTGAGTGTTCCTTGTACATCTGGCAGGTGCCTGGCCCTGCACAGGCACTGGTGAGGTGTGAAGGTGGCCCTGGGGACAGAAAAAGATGCTGGGCTTGAATGTGTGTCTCCATCCCCACCCTGACATCAGCCAAGCCAGCAGCTGCTTTATGTACACAAGTGAGCAGACACCTGGAGAAGGAGATGAGGGAAGTCCCAGACCAACAGCTCTTACCAGAGGGCCAAGGGAGGTCCCCACAGGGTCAGAGGCTGCCACTGATCCCTGAAATCCAGGCAGAATTTTAGAAATGAAGATAGACAGCCAGATGCGGTGGCTCACACCTGAAATCTCAGCACTTTGGGAGGCCTAGGCGGGCAGATCACAAAGTCAGGAGTTCAAGCCCAGCCTGGCCAATATGGTGAAACCCAGTCTCTACTAAAAATACAAAAATTAGCTGGGCATGGTGGTGCACATCTGTAATCCCAGCTGCTCGGGAGGATGAGGCATGAGAATCGCTTGAACCCTGGAGGCAGAGGCTGCAGTGAGCCAAGATCACACCACAGCACTCCAGCCTGGGTGACAGAGTGAGACTCCGTCTCAAAAAGAAAAAAAAACAAATGAAGACAAGTCAGCTGGGTGCAGCAGCTCATACCTGTAATCTCAGCCTCTTCAGACGGCTGAATGGGAGAATTGCTTGAGCCCAGGAGGTGGAGGCTGCAGGGAGCTCCGATGGTGCCACTGCACTCCAACCTGGGCGACAAAGCGAGACCCTGTCTCTAAAATAAAAATAAGGAAGAGAGTTAATGACGTCTCCTCCCTGTCTGTCTCACTGGGTAAGCATTCTGCCCAGCCAACATCTGGAACATCCCAGTAATTTCTGCAAAGAGCCACACCCTTCCCGGAAGGAATCTAATTTGCCAAAGATTTACTTGTTTGTTTTAAACTGGTTTTAGTTGACCACTTTTATTTTGTGTATAGCAGCGTTTTAAGAAAAGTCTAATTTATCCCGGCCACCTGCTGCTTTAGCAAACCAAGGGAGAGGATATGAAATTCTACGGAATATATATATATGTATGATATGTATATATAATTTTTTTTTTGAGACGGTCTTGCTCTGTCACATAGGCTGGAGTGCAGTGGCATGATCATAGCTCACTGCAGCCTCAAACTCCTGTGCTGAAGCAGCCCTCTCACCTCAGCCTCCTGAGTAAGTGGGACTACAGGCACACACCACCACACCCAGCCAATTTTTAAATTTTTTGTAGAGACTGAGTCTTGTCATGTTGCCCAGGCGGGTCTCAAACTCCTGGGCTCAAGCGATCCTCCCACATTGGCTTCCCAAAGTGCTAAGATTACAGGAGTAATCATTTGAGGTCAGGACTTTGAGACCCGCCTGGGCAACATGGTGAAACTCCGTCTCTATTAAAAACACAAAAATTAGGCGTGCGTGATGGTGCACACCTGTCATCTCAGCTACGTGGGAGGCTGAGACAGGAGAATCACTTAAGCCCAGGAGGCAGAGGTTGCAGTGAGCCAAGATCTCACCACTGCACTCTAGCTTGGGTGACAGGTTAAGAGTGCAGACTCTGTCCACCCCCAGCAAAAAAAAAAAAAAAGGCTGAGGGATTGTTACAGATTAAAAGATACTTGGCCGGGCACAGTGGCTCCCACCTGGAATCCCAGCACTTTGGGAAGACAAGGTGGGCAGATAACCTGAGGTCAGGAGTTCGAGACCAGCCTGACCAACATGGAGAAAACCCGACTCTACTAAAAAATAAAATTAGCCGGGTATGGTGGCACATGCCTGTAATCCCAGCTACTCAGGAGGCTGAGGAAGGAGAATCACTTGAACCCAGGAGGCAGTGGTTGCAGTGAGCCAAGACTGCACCATTGCACTCCAGCCTGGGCAACAAGAGCAAAACTCTGCCTCAAAAGAAAAAAAAAGATACTGATGACACATGAAGATTAAATGCAATGTGGATCATGGACTGGATGGTGGATCAGGGGGAGACTGCTATAAAGGACAGTTCAGAAGTTCAGTATAGAGACAACTGGGAAAATTTGAATATGGTCTGTGTATTAGATGATGGTATCAATGTTAAATTTCCTAAATGTGATCATTGTACTATAAGATACAATTGATAATTATGTAACAGAATGCCTGGGAGGTGTGGTGGCCCGTGCCTGTAGTCCCAGCTATTCGGGAGGCTGAGGTGGAAGGATCACTTGAGCCCAGGAGGTTGAGGCTGCAGTGAGCTGTGATCGCGCCACTGCACTCCAGCCTGGGTGACAGAGTGATACTCTGCCTCCAAAAAGGAAAGCCCTTGTTTTGAGAATGTCTAGCACATTTGTGGGGAAGTCAATGATGCCTGCAGCTTACTCCCAAACAAGAAATAACAACATGCGCATATATGTATATGTACAAATATAAACAAGCCACCTCAGCCTCCCAAAATGCTGGGATTGTAGGCATGAGCCACTGCGCCCGACCATTTCCTCAGCCTTTCATTACCCTTCACAGCCGTGACATTTTTGAATCATACAGGCCAGTCATTAAAATAAGATGGTTTTCCGTTTAGGTTTTTTTTTTTTTTTTT